AACCTAAGAGCGATGGCCTCCAACCCAAGAGCGATGGCCTCCAACCCTCAAGAGCGATGGCCTCCAACCTACTAGCGATGGCTCCAACCCCTATAGTAGCGATGGCCTCCAACCTAATAGCCATGGCCTCCAACCTACTAGCGATGGCCTCCAACCTACTAGCGATCGCCTCTAACCCAAGAGCGATGGCTTCCACCCGCAGAGAGATGGCCTCCAACCTAAGAGCGATCGCCTCCAACCCAAGAGCGATGGCCTCCAACCTACTACCGATGGCCTCCAACCTAAGAGCGATGGCCTCCAACCCAAGAGCGATGGCCTCCATCCCCTACTCGCGATGGCCTCCAACCTATACTAGCGATGGCCTCCAACCTACTAGCGATGGCCTCCAACCAACTAGCGATCGCCTCCAACCTACTAGGTGGCTGTGGCTTTTTGTAACTAACTTGTAGATGTTACAACTTAGTTATCAAACTTATGCAGAGGTGGACTTATAGGAGTTAAAACCTAGGTTATAAGTAGGACTTAAGTAGGCCTTGGCTTTTTCAATCATATTTTTCAGTGCAAACACAGGAGGAGATTCTTGTCATCATCCCAGCGCCACCACATTGCTATGCAATATGTGCTGTTGATCTTGGGTTTATACCAAGATCTGCAATGCAGTCTGCGCCACAAACTGCCATATGGTAAGGAGGTGGAGTCACCTTCCACAATGTTCTCAATTTGGCCAGCTGACTCACCCTCCCAAAAAGCGCAGTCTCCTTGAGACCAATTTTATGCTTTGCCGGAGGGTTGGATCTGTGAATGCAGCCTGATCTCCAGTCCAGCCCGGCTTGCTTGCTCCATTTGTGCTTGCTTGCTCCCGTGCTGCGGAACAAAGCAATTGAAAAAAACCACCAGAAGCTGTGCTTGCGTTTGCTCCGCCTACATTCGCCTACATTTCGCCTACATTGTCTGTATGTTTACTTTAGTTGCGCCTACATCTACAAAGCTTGATTTTCTAGATTCCTCGCCTACATTCCGCCTACATTCCCCCAACCCTCAGGAGCACGCTTTTTTTTTTTGGTGCCCTGGCCATGGAAAGAGGTCTGTTTGCGCAGTACAGCTACGCCGATCTATCCGATGTGGATATGGATAGCTCGGCCGCGACCCTCATCCTTTCGAAGTTCAGAAAATAAGTCCACCTAGAAAAGTTCAGAAAAGTTCAAACAAGTTCAGACCTCATCCACTTTGTGCAGGCACAAATGCCTTGTACCTGCTCCGTTCGCAAGTGTCCTGTCGCCCCATCAAGTCTGTCCACCAAGACTTGAAGGATTTGACAGACCTGCAGATTGGCCATAGTTCGAACGGACAAAACCTATCTCACCTTTCGCCGTTCATATATAGGCGTGCAACGGGTCTCTTGAGCCACAAATTACAAAACATAATCACGTCAAATAGTTTAAAAAAACATGGGTCTTAAGTTCAACCTAAGTCGAACCTAAGTTAAACTTAAGTAGGAACTAAGTAGAAATCATAAATCCAATAAGTTAGTTGTAAGATCACGAGGCGAGTACTTAAAATACTTATATAGTTTAACACCTACGTTATAGAACTTATAACCTAAGTTATAACTTCAACAAAAAGCCACAGCCACCTAGTACTAGCGATGGCCTCCAACCAACTAGTGATCGCCTCCAACCCAAGAGCGATGGCCTCCACCCGAAGAGAGCAATGGCCTCCAACCTAAGAGCGGTCGCCTCGAACCCAGCGTAAGAGCGGTGGCCTCCAACCTAAGAGCGATCGCCTCCAACCCAAGAGCGATCGCCTCCAACCCAAGAGCGATGGCCTCCAACCTACTAGCGATGGCCTCCAACCTACTAGCGATGGCCTCCACCCTACTAGCGATGGCCTCCAACCTACTATAGCGATGGCCTCCAACCTACTATAGCGATGGCCTCCAACCTACCATCGATGGCCTCCAACCTACTAGCGATGGCCTCCAACCTACTAGCGATCGCCTCGAACCCAAGAGCGATGTCCTCCACCCGCAGAGCGATGGCCTCCAACCTAAGAGCGATCACCTCCAACCCAAGAGCGATGGCCTCCAACCTAAGAGCGATGGCCTCGACCCGAAGAGCGATGGCCTCCAACCTAAGAGCGATCGCCTCCAACCCAAGAGCGATGTGGCCTCCACCCTAAGAGCGATGGCCTCCAACCTACTACTGGTAGCGATGACCATACATTCCAAGAGCGATGGCCTCCACCCTGAGAGCGATGGCCTCCAACCTAAGAGCGATGGCCTCCAACCTAAGAGCGATGGCCTCCAACCTAAGAGCGATGGCCTCCAACCCAAGAGCGATGGCCTCCAACCTAAGAGCGATGGCCTCCACCCTAAGAACGATGGCCTTCAAGCCATGGCCTCCAACCCAAGCGCGATGGCCTCCACCCTCAGAGCGATGGCATTCAACCTAAGAGCGATGGCCTCCATTCTTAGAGCGTTGGCCACCACCCTAAGAGCGATGGCCTCCAACCTACTAGCGATGGCCTCCACCCTAAGAGCGATGGCCTCCACCCCAAGAGCGATGGCCTCCAACCTAAGAGCGATGGCCTCCACCCTTAGAG